TGTCATCTTTTAATGATCATTGGTTTGCATAGTTGCTTAGTTCTGGTTTTTTTTTCCAGTCTGGCAGTGATTAGCTCCTCCAAGGTCTTATTGTTGAACAACAGCTTTCAAGGTTAATTAAAAATCTTTTAAATTTTATCTATGTACATATGATAAAATAATTAAATTTTTTTTTATTGCAATTTAATTTTTAGAACATAAAAGTTCCAACTGAAAACACATACAACACAGTCTGTGTTTTTAAGGTCTCTTCAATGATAAAAAAAGTTGTGATTGTCCATCCCTCTTTGTGAAATGTATCAGTGCTTTAACTTAGCTAATTAATGTGCAACAAATAAAATTGCAAGCTTCAAAAATAATATCTATTTTACAAACTCTTCTTTAAACTCTGTAACTCAGTGGAAAATTTGACATCCCAGTCTAGTACTTGCACAGTCTCAGTAACTGATGTTTCTTGATGTTTCTGAAAAACCCAGTGAAAAATCAAGGCGGTAAAACTGAGCTGTGTATGTACATACTGCAATGGCATGTGGTTTGTACACATCAAAATGATTCACAATTCCATTGTCAGGTAATTTGCTTGCATGAATGATGTGAAGTAGTGGGATAATGGTAATATGTGGGTCATTTTCCACAGCAAAATACTTCATTAGTTTTTAGTTCTTGCCTTATCAACTCTTAAGCAGCATTCTTTTCACAAAACAAAACAAAACAAAACAAAAAAACTCAAACAACCAAAAAACAAAAAACCCACACTCCAACAAGCTCCCCCAGAAAACCAACCCAAAACAGAAAAAAACCCCAGCTCAGTCTTTTCATCTTAGTTAATTACAGAGCCACTGAAAGGTACTGTTTTGTGATGAAAGTTAACTACTCAGAAAGTATGAAAGGGTTATTCGCTGGTTAAATAAATTAAAAAAACTTCCTCAGCATGCACATGCATAAGCAAATATAATCCAGAACCGAATGCCAATGTTGCACTTCCATTTTTTTCAATGACACAGGTTATTTCTCAGAGGCTGAATTTCAGAAACCAGTAAGCTGAGCAGAAATTAGTAGTCTATACTGGTCTTTCTGAATTCTGACTATTCCATTTCAGCAGGAATGTGTGACTGGTTTTGCTTGTAGCAAAAGCCCAATTTTGATTTGTTCTGTATAATATTTCTTAAAGGTCTGGTGTTTGTAACTCTGTTTTAAAAGATAAAAAGGTTTCTCTATAAAAGCAGAATGGAACTTTTGGCCTCTTACCTGGCTTGTGCTGTTTACTGAGTTTTCTCCAGCAACCTCTATAACAACTGGTATTTTTTGATCAGTAATTTGGCTGCACAGATGCTTCTTTCTTGGTGAACTCTTTACTTAACTCATTCCCTTCAACTAGAAGCTGGAGGGATGGGTAGTTTTGTTCAGTTACACTCACAATTTTGATTTTAGATCCTTTGCACCTACTTCATAGCTTTGTGATTTTATTTCCTCTAAAATGTTCACTTCTTATAGTTATCCATGCTAACTCATGTTCCATTGAATTCAGTTCCCTAACTACTTTCTTTTGAGCTGTACTTGAAAGGGTTTTAAGGTTCGAGCCTTTACTTTTTGTACCTTTTTTGTATTCATTCATCTCTCACTAGAATTTCACTCCTCTCAAAGTAGGTCTTAGCTATGATTCTGTAAGTCTGGGAATATAGTTATTAGAACATTCACTTATTTCTGTAATAAATAACTATTTTAACATTGTAACTTATCAAATACCTAAAGTATATTTCTTTCATTTAGAAAATAGTGCTATGGACTTTGAATTTGGTTTTATAGTTCTATTTATTTAGTTATGTCATTAGAAGCTACATGTATAGTAGCATTTCTTAAGAATACTGAACTACATGGTCCAGCTTCCCATTAAATTACTACAGATTTGCATATAGTAAATTGATAAAAAAGATAATATAGTTTTTCTTCTGTATTTTTAGTAATGCTGATAGTCTTCTTTTTTCTTGACCCTGCTGTTTAACTGCAGGAAAAATATCAATAAATTCTGGTTGGCTGATCTTTTTCACCTTTCTTACTAAAACCAAAGTAATTTAAAGTGTCTGCTTTTATTCCACTATGTAATAAAGGGAATTGGAGATATTCTTGAACTGTTGAAAGTAATTTTTTTAAGAATAAAGCATTTACTACAGGAACTGTTATACTGCTTTTGAAGTTGTATGAGAAGAAAAAGAAACCCATTAATATTGCATTTTCAAATAGAAAAAGCAGCATATTTTGTTTGGTTTTAATTTTAACTATATTTTATTTAATTATATCAGTTTATCTTTAATTCTACCAGCCTGGATTTCCAGTCTGCTTGAAAAACTTGGGCTTTCTTTCAAATTTCTATTTTCTTAGGGAAGAAATTCCTTCTCATCTTTTAAAATAATGATGCTGAAAGTGAGGAGATACTAAAATTGGGTTATAACTAGCTGTCATTTAATTTTTGTTATAAGTCTTTGCCTGATAATACCTTTGTCACTTCTGATTCATTTAATGTCAGACTCATATTAAGAGTGAATTTTGTGCATCTTTGCATTGATAATGTTCTTTCAAATATTACAGGCATGGTCTTCTCGTTAGACCACGGCAACTCTGCATTCTGCTCATTTGTTTACATCTCCATATTCCATTGCCACCTTCAAAAATAAAGAGGGCCCTTGGCACTGAAAGCATTTCATTTTACTGATGAAAATGGTGAATGGGATCTGGAAACACACTCTGATTTTGGATATTCAGCTCCCAGAGAGGTTCCTCACAGATGGGGATGAGCTTTATTTTGAGTGGCAGAAGGCCTGGCTGTACAGATATGATATTCTGGTATTTTAAAGGAAAGAGAAACTGAAATCATTGCCAGATTTAAAAAACAGATTCTGTAGAGAACATTTAGGAATAATACTAGGAAAAAAGAAATTCTGGGTTTTTTCCTCCTGTGGCTTTCCATAGCACAATAACACACAGCAAAGCTTGGTTACAGAAATTGGATTTTGTTCAGGTTTTTTTTTGTTGAGATCTTCAAAGCAGTGGTTGTCATAAAATTGTTTTCAGTGTTCTTTCCCAGAATGTTTGTAATGGTTATAGATTCCAGGAGATAAACAACTAGGATTTTAATTCATTACTCTTCTCTTCCTCTCTTCAATACTCCATACTAATAGACTACTGTACAATTAAAGTTTTGGGGTTGGGGTGAGTTGGTGTTTTTTTTTGGTTGATTGGTTATTTTGTTTTCTTTTAATGAAGGTGGAATTTAGAAAATTATTACAAGGTTAAAGTTTGCTTAGCTTGGGGGTTTTTTGCCTCTTTCTCAGGCTATTTTCCTTTTAACACTAAAAACTAATGTTACCATTTTGGCATTTATAACCTCATTCTGCTTTTAAATCCTGGTAATGATTTGAAACTAAATATCATTGGTTAACTGTAAAAGTACCTAATAGCTATCTTCTTTGACATCATTTTTTCTGAAAAAATTTGCTAAATATTTTAATATTTTAAAAATTGAAAATACTTTATTGTATTTAAAATACTGTAGCAATTAGAGTGGTGGCTGTGTTCTGCTGATCACTTCTTGCAGACCTACCATGAGATATTGTAGGTATACTTTTAGGTCTATTCAGAATTCAAGTCTTAGAAACCTTCTGCTATTGAAATATAGCAATTAATTAAAGAATATTAAGTAATGAGCCATAGTTATCCCAGACAGTTTCCTTGTTCTTATTTTGATAGAAGATAAATGCATTACCCATTTTGCACATTTTTATTGAGATCTTTCCCTTTTGCTGGAGGTTCTCTGTTGGAAAGACTTTCACTGCCTAGTTCTAGGCTATTTGCCTTACACAATGTCCAGTAAACCATCTTCAGAGAAGGTAAGCAAAATTTATGTAAGTGGATGACAAAACAATGGCATTGGATAAACCAGTAAACAAAGATAGGCATGATGGTTGTCAGTGAGTGAAAAAATGGAGGCAAATTTCAAATGCCTAAAAACATACAGAGGCTATTTCTATCAATTAAATGTAAAGTGAGGCTATAAATAACCTTTATGTCTTCAGTCCTTAGAAGGGGGAGGTAAGAGAAATGCTGATTTTGTAGTGCTGTTCCCTACATATAAATTTCTTGAGTTTTCTATTATTTTAACAAAGAACAAAGATCCTTATTATTTTTTTGTCTTTTGTTTCCCCCATCATTTTCTTTCAAGAAATGCATTTAAAATTTATTAAAGAATTGTCTTTTTCTGAAATAACTTCATACTAGAGTTGTTTTTTTTTAATTGAAGAGGAGTTTCTCAATGAAAATTCTTGCTTCTCTAATGAAAACTGTGGAGTTACCACATTCAACTTGGACCTGGTAGTATAAATCAAAATTCAATAGAGAAGAAATTCAGATTTTAAAAATTGCTATCCATTTTCTTTGTCTGGATTTTAAATGCCCAGTAGGAGATACCTTAGTGTCCATTTCTAAAACAACACAAAGAACATTCCATGAGAATAAAATTTTTCACTGAGAAAGATCTGATAGAAAGAAACTCTGAAACTGTCAGATATCTAGATTAAGCCAGCAACTTCAGGCAAAACTTATAAATGCTTGGCATCTCAATTTAAGTAATCAAAATAACCAGAATGTAAAATGCAGCAGATATTTCTCTACTGCGTTTTTGCCACACCAATATATAATTTCCATTCTCTGTAAAATAATTGTTCTCCAAAATATGGAGACAAACATTCAGCCAATCCATTTCTGAAAAATTTGGATCTAAAAGTGTTCCAGATTTCTATGTGTAAAAGCAGAAATCCAGAGCTTCACAGGATGTTGGTCCAGATTTTGATATAGAAATGAAAATGTAAATATGAAGAAAAATTTAAAATTATTAATAAAGGATTTTATCAGATATTTTTTCCTAATAGTGTCAATTTGTGGTCATATATTACAATGTGTTTTTATTTTCCAAAGTAATTTTACTGTATTTTATTTATGTATTTTAGGCACGGAAGGGGCAGTGTTTGGGCACTCTGTGGAGACACCCCATATCAGAGCAGAACCTTCCCAAGACCTCAAGTAGGTGTTGTTCAAAAAGTTGCTTTAAAATCAAATATTCTCCAAAAAAATTAAGTCTGGACTCAAAGAACAATATCTGTACAGTAATATATATATTGCCTATTTAATGACTCATAGATACAAAAACCCTTATAGACTCCATTTTGTTAACTAGTCAAAAGACCCCCACAAACTCCCTTTGCATGAAATGTAAAATATAGTGCTTTTTATATACGACCTGCCTCCCATAGTGGCATTCTTGAGAAATATATTTTCCCTAGAGACTGGAATATTCAGGTGTTTGTAAGGTCCAGTGTGTGTAGTATTATTCAGTAATGATTTTTTATAAGCTGTTACAGAATATGTAGGTCAAGTTAAGTAAACTGTCCCAAATTTTTCCATTTAGCAATGTTTCTGGGTTGTTGGACTTTTTAATACTAACACATACCCTTTTTAAAAATTCATTACCAAGTGAGGCTACATTTCTAAATGTAAAATTTTTCTGTATATAGTCAAAGTGGAGAAATAAGTAGGTAGTAAAAGATTAAGTTTAAAATTTACTAGGGAATCTGTGGAAAAGAAAACTTGGAAAAGTGTAAAATGAAAGCTTTTTTTTTGAAATGCATGTATGTGCACTGCTAAGTACTAATCTGTGATTTATATAGATGTGATTCATAATGAGAATCACAGAAAATCAAAGGTCCTTCCTCATGTTACTCCCAGCAGAACTGGTGAGAAACAATATAGGCTTTGGACTCAATTCTACTGTGATTTTTGAACATTTTGAACATATAACTATCTCTTTACCTGCCCAGAAGTGTTTCTGATTGATTGCTGCAGAAAAGAATGGTTAAATTCTCAGCCTTACATTTGCAAAGGCACTGACCAATATCAATATTGCAGAAATCATTGGCGAGGTTTGACCATTACACATGGAGTGTGTGAAGTAAATTATTGTTTTTGACCATTTACACCAAACATTTTAAAGTAATGTATAGCTTTGGGTTCTTCCAGAGGATACCACTCACTGGATTTCTATCTTAAAAATCTCTGTCCCCTTCCATGGCTCTCATCAGTCCTTTGTGGAAAATAATTTTAAAGGCATTTATTAGTGACAATCACCAAGGTGATATGATCTCTAATCAGAGGAAGTTCAGCAGAAATCAAAGGAACATAACAAGCTTTTTTTTTTTTCAGGGGACCAGTAATTTTGCTTCCTCTACTTCTTTCTAATCATAAATAATGAGTGAAAATATATGGTAAAACAGATAGTCCTCTGTCTTCAGGATTAATTTAAGTTAGGTTAAAATCACCTCATATTGCTTCTGAAATTCACACATGGGTCATTCAACCCTCCTGTCTTTTGTCTTTATTCATTGCCATGATTCCTATTGTTGCTTAATGATTTCAACTCCGCTGTAACTTCAGTTAATTTTTCCAAGATGGACTTAAATTAGTAAGCATTTGGCATTCAGATTTCTGCCCTCTCATTAATGATTATTTTAACCCATACCACTTATTCAAAAAAGTGAAGAAACAGATGCCCTTGGAGTTGGGTCAGGTAACTTTAACTTACTTGTAAGTGATTTATTCTTAATATATTCAGTTCATATTATGTTCTGCAAGTTTTTGTACACATGTGCTCCTCTATATTAGTTGGATTCTTGTCATATTCTTTTTTAAAACTCTCAAGTCAATTTAGTAATTTAAAAATTATGACAATTACTATTAGGACATTTCATAGGGCTGGTCTGGATCCTATTACTTTCTAATGTTTTAGAATAAACTTACCTAAGGTGTCCAATAATGGCAGTCCTAAAATCACCTAGAGTATTGTTCCAGGTGCTGCATCTCTGTGTCTTTGGTTAAACTTAATAATAAGGAATGGGAGTGTAGAAAGTTTGCTGAATAAACATTATTCATTTTTTTCAGTGGACACAACTGAATGCAATTTGACAGCAAATTGCAGTGCATTGGTGCAGATATAGTAGACTATGAGAATTATTGTATACAGGGCTGAAAGATAATGGAATATATATTAGATCATTAATTAAAGTATAAATCACCCCATATTTTTCATGTTGGAATATACATTTGTGGCCAATTAACAGACCTCGGACTTTTTTTCTCTTTTCTCCCAAATAAAAGCGGAAATATGTTGGAAAGCTACTCATAGACTTGTGTATGTAAAATGATTGACTACTGGATTTAAAAAAATGGAATAATGACCACCTTGATTATTCTGAATGAAGGATAAATAGAAAATTTGGTCTAAGAATTTGATACCCACAAGGATCATAGTAATTCCTGGGATTTTAGTTTAATCCATCATGGGCAGGAAGACAAAAATATAGTCAGATTCACATTAGCTCCACATATCTGAACCTTGCCTCAGACACTCTTAGCTCTATAGCCAGATTTTAAGGTCTTCATACAGAGAAGATCCCTTAATATTTACTATTAAAAGTGTATTGTGTGAAAATAAACTTGAGTTGAGTACTAGTGTAATTAATTCCTATGTGTCCAACCATTTGAGTCACATCTTTCTCCTTTCTTGCATTTTCAAATAATTGCTAGAAAGGTTTTGCTTTCAGGCAGTGCTGTTATACAATCCTTTGTGAAAGCTTTTGGGTCAAATCCCAAAAATTAATTAAAGATGACTTTCATTAGTTGGGATAAGTAGCATAAAAGAATCATGCATTAGAATCTAGAAAATGAATTATATCTTAATAATTTAATCTTCCTGTTTCTCTCGCTACTGTTTCTCACAGGAACACAGTTAGGAAAACTAAACTGCCAATATATTCCCCAAATACTGGTTTTAGGCCAATAGTGCATTAAAATACTGTGCACTAATAGGCAATATCCATGCACAAAATAGACCGAGAGTAGTTAAATGCAGATAACTTTGCCCTCAATAACATCCTTAATAAGGGGATGAATTATTTTTTGTTGTTCTCTGGAGATAACTACAAGTTCAAATTTAAAAAAAAAATTTTCTCTTCTATGTCATGCCTACCACACCCCAATCAGTTAATCCTGCAAGCTAATGCTGGGAATAATGAGATGAAAATTGATCAAGTGGCAAGGAACCGTGCAAGATAGTTGGATTCTACTTTACCTCTGCTAAGAATTAAAAATATTCCTGTCTTGCAGAGGAGGTCTGGTTCATTCAGAATTGTCTGCTGGTTTGTAAGAGACACCTTTAGTGACATTTAAGGGATGGTTTACTAATAGGTCAGAATATTATATTTTGTAAAAGCCTGGAGCCAGAAAACACATCAAATTTTGACCTTAACTTTTTAGTCATCTGAGCATGTTGAGAGTGACAAAATCTCCATTACTCTGTCATCTCTTTTGAGCCAAACATCAAATAATAAACAAAACCTAATCAAAAACTGGATGCAGCAGAGTAAAAGAACCCGTCTCCCTTCCTATGCTGTTTTAATGATGCCAGATTCTAGTTACTTTCAGTACCTTTTTTTAACAAAATAGAAATAATTACTTTTTTTTTTCATAGTTTGTGTTAGTTATTTCATTTTTTGGGCATGGATATTGACATGGATATTGTTTGCTTAGTCTTATCACTAGCTTTTGAAAATATTTTTTTAACATACATGTTCATACAAAAATAGGTATGGATATAGTAAAATTTTAAAAATTTCCAACATTTAAGCTTCTCTTTTAAAAACACATGCTCTTCTCTTTTTAAATATGCCTTATATACATTTATATATATGTGTGTGTTTGTGTATATATGTGTGTATGTATATAATTTTTTTAAATATTGAAGTTAACAGAGAAGAAAGCCAGTAATGAAAGGTTCTAATTGCTATGCAGACAGGACAGAGTAGAAACAAATGAATCTGGGTATGGCTCTTAAATTGAAAGAATAATTTGCTTTAGTGTTCAGTGATGATGATTATATTTGACAATGGAAAGGGAAACGGCTCTAGCAGGAACCAAGATATGAAGGATAAAAATATTACTATAACACAAGAGATAGAAAAATCCATTGAGTTTCATATGCTTAATTTAGGATACTGGAGCCTCCTTTTTTCCAGGCTGAAGTACCCCAGCTCCCTCAGCACTCCCCTGTCTTACACTGTAGACCCTTCCCCAGCTCCGTTGTCCTTCCCTGGACTCGCTCCATCCCCTCAATGTCCTTCTTGTAGTGAGGGGCCCAGAACTGGACTCGGGATTCAAACTGTGGCCTCTCCAGTGCTGAGCACAGGGGGACAATCCCTGCCCTGCTCCTGCTGGCCTCACCAATGCTGACACAGGCCAGGATGCCATTGGCTTTCCTGGCCACATGAGCACAGCTGGCTCACATTCAGCTGCTGTCACCCACACCTCCAGGTCCTTTTCTGATGGGCTTATGATTATATTTGCTTTATGATTATGCCATCTCATGCCTTCAGGAACCCACAGATGGGCTCCAAGCACAGCTGTCTCAGCCTGCGCAGGGTTATGAGAGTAAATATATTGCCCAATCAGTCTCATTTGAAAAGCCACATGAAGCTTGTAGCAGTAGAAAGCTTTTGCCCAGTGCTGGGTTAATGAAAGACATGGCAACTTCACACTGCAATTACTGTGAAGGCAGACAAGGATCTTTGTTTACATGAAGCTGCATCACATCTAACAGCAGGCATGGCCAGTGAGTGCTCAGAGTGTCAGAGGGAGATGGTGAAGGTTTCAGTAGATGCCCTCCTCTGTGCCCTTGGCTCCTGCAAGGCTTGTTTCAACTGTGGTTGCTTTTACACTGCTTCAAGATCCAAGCTGCCACTTAATTAATTTGAATTTCACATAGGTCCAGCCTAGGACTAGGCCCAATAGCCCGCAATTTGTTCAAGATTTTCATTCTCACAGACACTATGGGTAGAAATTTTTACTACCTTTTTAAATAGAGCAACAGTGCTCCATGCCCAGGAGATATTAGAGATACCAGAACTCATTTCTGAAATGCTTTGGACTCTAAGTACAGTCTTGTTTCACCATACCACCATACCTGCATTTTGCTG